CATCCCAAAACCAGCCCAGCTCGTCCCCGCCTCCCTAACCTGTCCTTCCTCCCACCTCAAGCCACATCCCCATTTCCTACCTACTAACCTCATCCCACCCCCTTACCTGTCCGTCCTCCCTGGACTGACCTACCTTCTCCCTACCTTCCCACCTACACTCACCTTTACTGGCTCCATCCCCGCCTCTTTGACCTGTCTGTTTCCTCTCCACCTATCTTCTCCTCTATCCATCTTCTATCCGCCTCCCCCTCTCTCCCTATTTATTTCAGAACCCCCTTCCCGTCCCCCATTTCTGATGAAGGGTCTAGGCCTGAAACGTCAGCCTTTCTGCTCCTATGATGCTGCTTGGCCTGCTGTGTTCATCCAGCTCTGCACCTTGTTGTCTCTTATAAAGCAGCACCATCACTTCCTGACTCTTGTACTCAGTGTAATAGTTTATCTGCATTTATTGGCTGAAGCTGCTTTGTGCTTGTTTTCTTGGTCACTGCATCAGGAATTTCTTCTGACAAAGACTAATTTCCATTCTTAAAATTGATCTGAATCAACTTTTCTCTCCTTTTCTTGGCAGAGTGTTTGGCTGGGCGATCATGGCGACATCCTCTCTGAACATGTTGATACCGTCAGCAGCCAGAATCCATTTCAGCTGTGTTATATTAATCAGGATTCTCCAAGGTCTGGTCGAGGTGAGTGGGCAAAATGTTGCTCGATAAAGCACAAGGGAAACCATTCAATTCACCTCTCTCTATCAACCTCAATTTCCTAAATTAGCCTCCAACTACATTTCAAAACGCCCTCGAATCTCCACAACCTTAAGTGCAGGATTAGTCAATATCTGGGAGTAGGGAACGTCAAGTTGATAAAGAGCCAGGAGAAGATGCTTCAGTTTCTAAGGGTGTCTCAAATTAGGGGCTGTAAGAAACAACAGAGTTGTGAACACAGCGCAGTCCACCTCGCAAGCCAACCTTCCATCCATTGACTCCATCTATAATTCTCGCTGCCTTAGGAGGGCAGCCAACATTATCCAACACCCCTCCCACCCCAGTTATAATCTCATCCAACCTCTTCTGTCAGGCAGAAGATAAAAAAGCTTAAACACATATCGCAATAGATTCAAGAACAGCTTCTTCTCCACTGTTCTTAGACTTCTGAATGGACCTCTCAAATTTTAAATTGAATGTTGATCTCGCTCTTTGTGCACCTTCTCTGTAGCCATAACATTGTATTCCTCGCTCTGTTCTATTACCCTAATGCACTTTGTATGGTATGATCTGCCTGTACTGCACGCAAAACAAAACGTTTCACTGTACCTCGGTGCACGTGACAATAATAAATCAAATTTTAAAAAAATCAAATCATAAAGTCACTTACCTCATTAAATAATTCATGAGAAAAACAGAAATTGCTGGCAAAACTATAGTGAAACCCGTTATCTCCACGGATGCTGCCAGATCTGCTGAGTTTTTTCAGCAATTTTTGTTTTTGTTTCTGATTTCCACCATCTGCTGTTTTTGTAAAGACTTCAGGAGTAACTCTGTGGTGAGAGTGTGTAGCTTGCTACAGTGGATGAGGTGAGCAGATAAGATGTAATTAAGAAAAAACTAGACAGACTCATTTTATTCTTCCATGGTATCAAGGCGCAAGACCAGCATTTGTCACCCATTCCAATTAGGCTTGAACTGAGTGACTGAGGACTGTTTTTGAGGACAGTTTGAGGAGTTTGGGTCTGTACTCATCGGAGTTGAGAAGGATGAGAGGCAGTCTTACTGAAACATACAAGGTTCTCAGGGGTCCTGACAGGATAAATGCAGAAAGGATGTTTCCCTTTGTGGGAGAGTCCAGGACCAGAGGGTGTAATCTCAGAATAAGGGGTCACCCATTTATGAGATAGAATCATAGAAGTCTCCATCACAGAAAAAGTCACTTTGGCCCATCGAGCCAGCACCGGTCAAAAACAAGCGCCTAACTATTTGCTTGAGGAGGAATTTATTTCCTCAGAGGATAGTAAATCTGTCGGATTCTTTCCTCAAAAGGCTGTTGAGTCTGGGTCATTAAGTATGTCCAAAGCTGAGATAGACAGAATTTTAAACAGTAAGGGAATCAGGGGTAATGGAGAAAAAGCAGGAAACTGGAGTTGATGACTCTGAGATCAGCCATGATCTCATTGAATGGTGGAGTAGAATTGATTGGCTGAATGGCCTACTTCTGCTCTTATGAGTGGCAGAGGGCAATTAAGAGTTAAGGACATCACTGTGGGCATAGAGTGGAATGTAGGCCAAACCAGATAAGCACGGCAAATTTCCCACCCTAAAGGGTATTAGTGAGCCAAGTGCATTTTCATAACCAGTGTTGTCATGGTCACTATCACGAAGATGAGCTTTGTATTGAATTCACATTCTAATGGTTGCTAAGGTGAGATTCAAACCCACGATTAGACTTACCGTTCTGGCAGACATGACCACGACACCACCATTGCCCTGGTATGATAAAGAAAGGAATAGGTGGTTAAGCGGGGAGGATGAAATGAAGATGATAGAGTGGGAGGAAGCTCAAGGGGAGCATAAACACTGGGATGGACCTGTTCTGTATCTTTCATTTCTTTTTGACACTGAGCCAAACATACCGATTTTGTATTTTGCCTCCAATCTGAGCTGAGTCAGCAACTATGTTGAATGCCCGGGTGATAGGCAGCAGAAATCTCTGTCCCTTCCTTGGTCATCGCTATTAGATGATTACTGCCTGAGAGGCAAGGTCAGGCCTGTGATATCTTTAATAGGTTTTCAACATCCACCCTTCACACTGTGACATGAAGGACAGCCACTTGGTGAGGAGTTTAACAGCGGTTGCTCTCCACCCATCAGGGACATGGGGTCATGCATTTAGCAAGACATTGGACAGGGTGCAGACAGGATATTCCAGAATGGTATCAGGGATAAGGGACTTCAGATGAGAGGAGCTGGAATTTGTCCCCTTGAAATTTTTTAGTTCACTCGTGTGACATGGGCGTCGCTGGCTGGTTATTATTTAACCCTGGTTGCCTTTGAGAAGGTGATGGTAGTGAGCTACCTTCTTGAATTACTACGGTCCTTGTGCCATAGGTAGGTCCACAATGCCCTTAGGGAGGGAATTCCAGGATTTTGGCCCAGTGATATATTTCCAAGTCAGGATGGTGGAATTTGCAGATGGTAGTGTTCCCATGCATCTGCTGCCCTTGTCCTTCTCGGTGGTAATGGTCATGGAAAGTGCTGCCTAAGAAGCCTTGGTGAATTTCTGCAGTGCACCTTGTAGATAGTTATCACTGCTGCTCCTGGTGGAGGGAGTGGATGTTTGTGGATGTGGTGCCAATCAAGTGGGCTGCTTTGTCCTGGATGGTGATAAGCTTCTTGAGTGTTGTTGGAGCTGCACCCATCCAGGCAAGTGCAGAATGTTTCATCAAACTCCTGATTTGTGCCTTGTAGATGGTGAACAGGCTTTGTGGGTCAGGAGGTGAGTTCCTCTCTGCAGTATTCCGAGCCTCTGAATGGCTGTTTGTAGCCACAAGTTTCAGGTGAGATTTAATAGAGCTGCTCCAGGAATTTGATAGAGTAAAACGGGAAGCTATTTTCAATGGCAGGTGGGTCAATGACCAAAACGCACAACTTTGAAATAATTGGCCAAGGAAACAAAGGGGACTCTTCTGTTTAACGCAACAAGTTATTGTGATTTAAACTTCATAACTTGCAACAATCATAGCAAGAGATTCCAGAGTAACCTTCAACAGCGAATTAGTTCAATACCAAATAAGAAAATAAAATGCAAGGCTATTGGGAAAGAACAGGACAATGAATGTTGACCCAGCCTGCAATGCCTGTGTCCCACGAATGAATAAAATAAATCACATTGAACAGGATTTTCAAAGAACTGGGATGTGCATAATGGGCTGAATGGTCTCCTTCTGTGCTGTAAGGTTCCTTGATTCTATAAACCAGACCCTGCAGGGAGACGAGTGATGAACATGTAAATTATATCTTACATACTGGACAATAATCAATTAAAAAATTGACCTCGCCTCTCACTTTCTGTGGCAGGATCATCTGTGAGACAACAAATTTACTTTAATTGTCTCTGGCAAGGCCAGACCCTACAATATGATGTTTTCTTGTATTCTATTGCCTGCAGGGGGTTACATATCCAGCATGCCATGGAATTTGGAGCAAATGGGCACCTCCCTTGGAACGAAGCCGGCTCGCTACTACCTCCTTCTGTGGTAATCGATCCCTTTAGACCTTTAAACAATAGACTGTTTCATAGGTTGGTCAGACAGAGGCCTGACCTGCGTTTTATGAAGGTAGTGTCTGTGCTGCCACTGGCAACTGTGGGCAATTACGCATATGCGCTCATGCGGGACTGAGCGTGTGCACTGTTCCAGACTCTAATGCCGTTCACCTAGACTTTACATAGATGGGTCATAGTTGAAAAAACATTCCAATCTCTCTATGGCACCCTTAAGTCCTTTAACCCTTTGGGCCAATCTCTACTCCCTGTTAGGGAATGGACATCAGCTAAATTCGGCCTTACCTTTGTCCGCTAAAGTGTGATGACCGAGTGGAATTATTGCTGGACTGTGAATCCAGAGAACCAGGTAATGTTCCAGGTGACCCAGGTTGGTTTGAATCCTGCCACAGCAAATGGTGGAATTTGAATTCAATAAAAATCTGGAACTAGGAGTCTAGTGAAACCATTGTCAATTGTAGGAAAAACCCATTTGGTTCACTGATGTCCTTTAATGAAAGAAACTGACACTCCTCATTTCTAATCTCCTGCTCTTTCCTTGTAACCTTTGATTCCCCTATTGATGAAGAATTTATCTATCTCAGTCTTAAATAAACACAGGAACTCTGACCCCCACAGCTTTCTGAGGCAAGGAGTCCCAAAGACTCACAACCCTCTAACAGATAGAAATTCTTCCTTATCTCAGTCTTTAATTGGGGTCTCTTTATTCTGAGACTATACCCTTTAGTTCTAGACTCTCCCATGAAGGGAAACATCCTCTCAGCATTTACCCTGTTAAGACCTTTAAGAATCCTATATATTTCAATGAGATCACTCCCCATTCTTCTAAACTCTAACGAATGGAATCCCAACCTGTTTAGCCTTTGCTCATAAGACAATCCCTCCATACTGAGGGTCATCCTAATAACCTTTATCCAAATTGCCTCCAATGCAATAATATCTTTCCTTAACTAAAGGTATCAAAACTGCTCACAGTACTGTTCCAGATGTGGTCTCACCAACACCTTGTACAGTTGCAATAAGAATTTCCTGCTCTTATACTCCAACACCCTTGAAATAAGGACCATTAGCCTTCCTGATTATCCACTGCACCTCTGTGCAGCTTTCTGTGTTTTGTGCCCACAAGTCCCTTTCTGTTGCAGCCTTCTGCAATTTTTCCCCATTTGAAATATGGTCTTGGGGACAGAAAATATAAAAGATAGGCCCTTGTTTATTAGTAAGTAATTTTAAGGATGTTTGTTCAATTTTATTAAGAAGCATCAACTTAGATATGATAAATTAGCTAAATATGTATAGAAAGTATACAACGCTTGATAGTTGAGAGTGGTTCACTGACGTCAGGGGACAAATGGTTGATTGGCTAAATTTGTGTTGATTTCAGTAGCTTGTATAGTCAACATCTAGCCTATGTGATGGGGAAGCCTTCCCTGGGTCTTCCCCATTTTTCCTGGTCCATCTTTCATGTGAAGCTGCCTGTTTTGCACTGCCACTTGAAGTAGACTGGTTTTGGCTCCAAGCACTTATTAATCTACTTTTTGTTTTACTAGTGGTGCTCTAAAGCATCTATCCTGCAGATTTGCCAACTTTGGTTGAAGGCCTGCCTGGAATTCTCACTCGAAGCTGAACATCTTGCGTACTGAAGAATCATTGAATCACTACAGTGCAGAAAGAGGCCATTCAACCCATTGAGTCTGCACTGACCCGCCAAAGAGCATCCCATCCAGACCCACCCCACCATCCCATCCCAGTGACCCGGCTGCTTTGGTGCTGTGCGATTGGTAATTCCAGTTGTGACATTAAACAATCTACCCTCTCAGATGGTCATTAAAGATTCCTTGTGGTGCTATTTTGAAGATGAGCAGGAATGTTCTACCTGGAGTCTTTTATCCCTCAATCAACATCATAAAAATAACTTGGCCCTTAATCTCCAAGGCACAGTCCAGCAGGACCTTCAGATCCCCATCCGAAAAGCAAAGTGGTGATTACCCTCTGCCTGACATGTCCAGGACAAATAAAGTGAACTATGCCAGCGATTCACAGGTATACAGATGGCATTAAGGATGGCACTGGTGCCAGGAATCCTTGATGGTACCCATCTGGGTGTCCAGGGAGAATAAAACAGGCCATAAGAGTGTGCTACACAGGTAAAGAGGTGTGTTTGGGAAGATAGCACGAGAAACCCTCATGACACCCACCAAAACTGAGACTTAGCCAATTTCTGATAAGATTCAGACAAATATTGAATGTTGGAAAACATTTAAGGGGCTGAATAGCCTCCGCCCATTGCTCATGTTCCACTGTTTAAGAATGTCCCACCTCAGCAGTATTTTGTGATGCGCACTCTTTCTTTTGCAGGTTCCTATGCAGGGGCAGTGATAGCAATGCCACTGGCAGGGGTCCTTGTCCAGTACTCAGGGTGGTCTTCAGTCTTCTATGTCTATGGTATGTATTGTATTATCATGAAGTATGTTAGACTAAGTAAGTTAGAGAAAGGGGTAACTGTAACAGTCATAGAAAGAAGTGGCATGCACTCATGAACATAGAATCCCTACAGTGAGAAAGCAGACCATTCGGCCCATTGAGTACACATCAACCCGCCAAAGAGCATCCCACCCAGACCCAGCCCCCTACTCTATCCCTGTAACCCTGCATTTCCCATGGCTAATCCACCCTAACCTGCACATCTTTGGACTGTGGGAGGAAACTGGGGCACCCTAAGGAAACCTACACAGACACAGGGAGAATGTACAAACCCCACACAGACAGGTACCCGAGGGTGGAATTGAACTCAGATCCCTGGTGCCGTGGGGCAGCAGTCCTAACCACTGAGCCACCATAGAGAAAAATGAGAGAATTAACGAAAATAGGCGTGTGTTCTCATAACTGCTGACATGGTATTGGGGGTCAGTTAGCTCAGATTACCATGACAGTTCCACTTTCTTGGCCTTGTCTTTCATCTGAGGCGTGGTGACCCTCAGATTAAACTCACCACCAGCCTTAATCTAATGAGATAGCAGCCTGATGGGTCTGTAGCAACTTTAGGAACATAGGAACAGGAATAGGCAATTCAGCCCCTTGAGCCTGTTCCACCATTGAATGAGACCATGGCTGATTCCACATAATTCCACATAACCACCTTTGGCCCATATCTCTTCACACCTTTGCTTAAGAAAAATTTATCGAGCTCAGATTGAACATTAATAACCGATCCAACATCCACTGCCATTTGTGGAAGAAAGTTACAAACATCTACCATCCTTTGTGTGTAGAAGTGCTTCCTAACATCTCTCCTGAAGGGTCTGGCCCTCATTCTCAGGCCATGCCCCCTTGTTCTAGTATCCCCAACCAGTGAAATAGTTTATCTACCCTGTCACTACTCTGACATTCTCTTTACCTTACCTAGAAATGTTAAAGTGAAGGGTTCCGACCCGAAACGACAACTTTCCTGCTCCTCTGTTGCTGCCTGGCCTGCTGTGTTCCTCCAGCCCCACACTGTGTTATCTCTGACTCCAGCATCAGCAGTTCTTGCTATCTCATAGTAAAGTTTGCTTGTTTTACAGCTAGCAATCCTTCAGAGTTATTGGAGCAATGACAACCCAATGGTAGTATTTGTTCTAGGGTCAACTTTCAACTTGGATATTTGTTGTGCTAGCGTTTCTGTCCAAAAATATATGGTACATTCAGGGTCACAGAGAATGATTCACTCCTGCTTGGTACTATGTTGCTCATGTATTTGTCTCGGTGTAGAGAGAATGATTCATTCCCATCTGTTCCCTTTGGCTCGTGTCAATCTCAGTGTTGGCTCTGGTGCACAGAAAATGCACATCTACTTTGCTGTAAGAAAATAAGCTTTGTTCACTTACATACTAAGCTAATTCATGGGGGCTTTATAAAATGATAATTGATATAAAGAGATTCAAGACCTGTTAACAAAGAGTTTTTGTCCAACAGCTTTGTTTTAAGGGCTGTCTTCAGTGAGTGAGAGAGAGAGGGAGAGAGAGGAGAGAGGTGCTGAGGTTTAGGGAGGGATTTCAGAGCTTAGATCCCAGCATCTGAAGGCACAGCAACTAATGATGGGGTGATTACAATCAGAGATTCTCAAGTGGCCCGAATTAGAGGAATAAAAGCATCATATTGTGTTATTTGAAATATGAATATGTAGCAGCTCGAATACATTTTTCTGCTGCACTGCAGTCACACACCAAGTGAAATTATTAATGATTCCTCGACCTTCCAAACTACCATCTAGAAGGACAAGGGCGGCAAATACTTGGGTACATCATCAGCTACAGATACCCCTCCAAGCACTCACTGTCCTGTCTTGGAAATATATCGCCGTTCCTTCAGTGTCATTGAGTCAAAATCCTAGAAGTCCCTCCCTGATGGCATTATGGGTGCCCCTAGACCAAGTGGATTGCGGTGGTTCAAGAAAGCAGCTCCTTTCTCAAGGGCAATTATGGATGGGTAATCAGCGTTGGTCCAATCAATGAAACCCACATCCCATGAGTGAATTTTTAAAAAGCCACGTGGAGATGTCTAAGAAATATTCCCGCTAGCGATTTGAGTCAACCGTGGAATCAAAAGGTGGAACTGAAGCTGCGTTGTGGGGCTGAAGGAGGGTGGAGAGGTGAGGACAGGGAGGCACAGAGCCAAAGATGACAACAGGAGTCAGTAGAATCATCTTATTGCTGAACTCCCCTAAGTTAAGTGAGTGGTGAGATAGGAGAGGTAGTGGGTGAGAGGAAATGCTCAGTGAAGCCATCCCATTCCCATGGCTTTTACGGCCCAGTTGGCCTGTATGGACACTGAGCAAGGATGGGAAATGGGTAATTCTTTGATTCCCCTCCTTCAGTCCCAATAACAAAAGCCATTAGGTGTGCCCAGTTTGCAGCCACCCCTGCTCTAGAGTCTACCTGACCAATACAGAACCTGAGGGAGAGGAAAGCCTTGGAATTAGAAAATATATTGTTTTAATTCTTCTTTGCAGGGAGCTTTGGCATGGTGTGGTACATATTCTGGCTGCTGGTGTCTTATGAGAGTCCAGCCAAACATCCAACCATTACTGAGGAAGAGAAGACCTATATAGAGGAATCTATTGGAGAAGGCACTAACCTTATGAACCCTCTTGTGGTGAGTGTGCATTTTTTCTTATTCCCCCGCTCCGCCCCCACCCGCTCCCCCCGCCACCCGGTACTGGGGACAAACCAAATGTCCAAGCTCTCGTGTCACCACCCCCACACTATTCCCTCCCCATTGCCAGCTCCTATGCAGCTTTGCTTCTGAATCACAAAAGTTCTGGGTTCAAGTCCCGATCCAGGGATTCAGCACAAAATATCAAGGCTGATTCACCCGCATAGCGTTGAGGGAGAGCTGTGCTGTTTTGGATGAGAAGCTAAGGCTTTTCAAGTGGCATAAAAGATCCCTGACGAGATTTTCGAGAACAGTCCCAGCCAATTTTCAGCACTCAATCAATACTAAAACAAGCAGACAATTTGGTCATTATCACATCGCTGTTTCTGGGAGTTTCCTGTACGTAAATTGGCTGCTAAATTTCCTTTATTGCAACAGTGACTACACTGCAAAAGTACATAGTTGCCATTGATTTAGACTTCATTGTCATATGCACTCAAGTACAAAACTACAGGAGTACAGTGAAAAGTTTTCAACATCACCACACACAATGCCATCTTATGAACAAGTACCTAGGTGCAAAAACTTAAGAACAAAGTAGAAAGAAATGAGGAACAAAGTTAAAAGTTAAGTATTACGGTCCTTCTTAGTATTAAGACTTTCTTTAAGTGCTTAGCCATGCTGTGATCACACTTGTTTAGTGCTTCTGAAAAATGGCATACAGGCAGGACCTGGGCTGCAAACAGGTTCCATTCTGGAGACTGGTTGCATGTAGATCTGTATGCAAGTCGGATCACAATGTAGAACAAAGTAAAGCAGCTGTTTGCAAGTTCAGAACATGTTCATATGCACAGACGTTAAAATTACACTCCTATATGGGATTGTGTTCATAATTTGGGGACCTGCTACTTTTCTACCTGTGGATGAGTACAGTCAGAGCCAGTTTTCTGAAAGTAGGTTACGAGCTCCAGAAGTAATCATAGAATCCCCACAATGTGGAAGCAGGCCATTCCACACTGACGCTCCCACCCAATCCCCGAACACCATGGGCAATCTACCTAACTGGCACATCTTTGGATTGTGGGAGGAAATCAGAGAAAACCCACACAGATACTGGGAGAACATGCAAACTCCACACAGACAGTCACCTGAGGCTAGAATTGAACCCTGGTCCCTGACACTATGAGGCAGTGGTGCTAACCACTGAGCCACCATACCAGTGGTTAGCATTGTGAAGGAATCCCAAAGTAAATAAATGATTGTTTTTTTAAAAAAATATATATTTGTAATCAACCTCTTCGGACATGTTATGACACACCTCTGTAGCAGATGGGACTTGAATCCAGACCTTCTAGCTCAGAGGTAGGACTGCCACCACTGTGCCTCAAGAACCCGTAAATAATTGCTAATATTAACATTTTTAAACCATTGCCCATGAGCAGTTGATAAATGTAAATACTTTATTACAGAGAAGGTTGCAATGACTTTGAGAGATTTCACTAATCTGCTCCACAGTGCCAAACACTGGTCAAAGCTTGCAATTACATTGTGACAGTTTACATAGGAATAAATTGGAAGAAAATAGTTGCAAAAAGCCGCATGAGAACTAATTTGAGAAAACTGAAAATGAGCTTGCAGGGCCACCAGGAAAGAGAAGGGGAAATAGGACCAATTTCAAATCTGTTGACTATATGATTTGGTAACTTTGAGAGACATGGTGATTTAGTGGTAATGCCACTGGAGAAGTAAGCTGGAGGCTCAGGACATGGGTTCAAAACCCATGGTAGCCAGTGGAATTTATACACAATTAGTAAATTTGAGGAAGTGATTAGCTAGGGGTTCTTATCACTAGACTATTAAACCCTGAAACCCAGGTAACATTCTAGGGATGCATGTTCAAATTCTTCCATGACAGATGGTGGAATTCAAATTCAATAAAAATCTGGAATTCAGAGTCTCATGATGACCATGAAACTGTTGTCAATTGAAGAATTCACTAATCCCTTTAGGGGAGGAGATCTGCCATCCTTACCTTGTCTGGCCTACAGGAGACTCTAGAGCCACAGCAATATGGTTAATTGCCCTGGTGGGCAATTAGGGACAGGCAATAAATGCTGACCTGGTCAGTGATGCTCACATCTCATGAACGAATGAAAGAATTTTAGAATTGTAAAGTTGGTCTCAGTAATGATGACCACAACAGCTATCACCACCAATTGTTGTAAAAATCTATGTGGTTCACTAATATCCTCGCGGGAGGGAAAGCTGGCATCCTTACCTGGTAAGAGGTGACTCCACAGACCTTACCCATGCTCTGAAATGCACAAGCAAGCAATTAGGGATGGTCAACAAATCCTGGCATTGCCAGCAATGCCCACATCCCATTGAAAGAATGAAATAAAGGATTCATCGCAGTCCGGGCAGGTTGTTCACAGTTGCGAGAAGCGTAGGCCTAGGCTGAATGGGTGAGAAAAATTGATCCCGTGTTTTGGTTTGTCGTGTTACTTGAGCAGAAATTCAAGGCGCCCTGGCGCAAGTTTTTCACATCGATGCCTGTCTACGCTATTGTCGTCGCCAACTTCTGCCGCAGTTGGACTTTCTACCTGCTGTTGATCAGCCAGCCAGCCTACTTTGAGGAAGTGTTTGGATTCGAGATCAGCAAGGTAACCAAATGTGTTCTTTCCATGTAAATTTTTGCGTTTTAAAAAAATTGGCTTTCTCCACAATCGTTTCAAAAAAAAAATTAGATATAGAGATATAGACTCATACAGCACAGAGACAGGCCCTTCGACCTACCATGTCTATGCCGACCAAAGACCAAACTACACTAATCCCTTTCACCTGCACTTGGCCCATAGCCTACTATGCCCTAGCATTTTAAGTACTCATGTAGATGCTTCTTAAATCCTGTGAGCGTATGTGCCTCCACCACACACTCTTGCAGAATGCTTCCAACCTCTTCACCCTCTGGGTGAAAAAATCTCCTCATATCTTCTCTAAACCACTTGTTCCTCACCTTAAACTCATGCTCTCTGATCTCAGACACCTCTGCCTTGGGGAACAGATTCCCACAATCTTCTGACTATACCTCTTAATTTTGCATCAATCAGATTCCACTTTAGCTCCAAGGAAAACAAATCCAGCCTAGCCCATTTGTCTTCATAATGGAAATATTTCATCTCAGGCAACATGAAGGTGAATCTCCTTTGGGGAGATGATGGCCTAATGCTATTATCGCGAGACTATTAATCCAGAGATCCTGGCAATGTTCTGGAGACCTGGGTTCAAATCCTGTGATGGAAAATGTGGAATTTGAATTCAATAAACATCTGAAACTGGGAGTCCAATGATCTCCATGAAAACTTTGTCAATTGTCAGGAAAAAAAACCCGCTGGTTCATTAACGCCCCAGGGAAGGAAACCCTGCCCCCACTGTCTGGTCTACATGTGACTCCAGACCCACAGCAATGTGTAGTTGACAGTTAACTGCCCTCTGGGCAATTAGCCATGGGTAACAAATGCTGGCTTGGGCAGAGACTCCCACATCCTATGAACATTTAAAAAAAAATCCCTCTCCAGTGCAATTATGTCCTTCAGTTAGTGTGGCGACCAAAACCGCACACAGTATTCCATCTGTAGCCTAACCAACGAAGGCTCAGACCAGATAAGGATGCCAGCCTCGTTCTCCAAAAGAACTTCAGTGAATGAGATGGGTCCTTCAGACAATCAACAATTGCTTCATAGCCACCCCTAGACTTTTAATTTCAGGTTTTCTTTATTTCATGACTTGGCCAGACAGCCTGTCTATCCTGTAAATTCTTACAATACAACAATGGCAGGGGGCAATAGTGGAAGAGTTTCCAGGTCAGTCATGTTTGATGTCAAGTTCACACCACAAACCTCCAGCAATAGATTAGGGACTGGTCTAGAACAAGCCCATGAGCTTCATCAAATCAGAGGCCATTCAGCCCATCGATCTGCACAAACAAAGTATTCTAAATCTACAAACAACAGCTATTACAACAGGAGTGAGAAAAGTTATCTTGGCCTTCAACACAGACTCCATTCCCTGACTACAATGTACAAATATGGCCTCAATGTCCACTTGCAGCCTTAGCTCAAGCATGATGTGAAGACCTGTGTGACCCGAGCAGAAAAATTCTCCCCTTTCTTCATGAAATGCACCTTCCTCAAGGTCGAGAGGGCAGGGTGGGGTAGGAAAAGGAACTGACCTGCTCCACAAACAGACTTAATAAGACCATTGCACTGCGGATGCTGGAGATTTGAAATGAAGGCAGGAAGTTCTGTAGAAATTCAGCAGGTCTGGCAGAGAAAGCCAGAAACGGGTAGAACTGAGCAGAGGGGAAATTTCTTCACCTACAGAGTGGTGAGCCTGTGGAATTCGCTAACACAAAAACACTGTATGATTTCAAGAGGAGTTGGATATAGTACTTGGAGCTAAAGGGATCAAAGGATATGAATGTGGAGAGATGCAAAAGGGTCCAGAGGGGAAATTTTTTCACACAGAGGGGTGGTGAGTGTCTAGAATGGGCGGTCAGAGGTTGTGGCGGAGTTGAGCCCAATTTGTCATTTAAGAAATATTTGGACAGGTATGTGGATGGGATAGGTATGGAGGGATATGGACCAAACACAGGCAAATAGAGTCATTGAGTCATAGAGTTGTACAGCATGGAAGCAGACCCTTCAGTCCAACTCATCCATTTTGACCAGCTATCCTAAATTAACCCAGTCCCATTTGCCAGCATTTGGCCTATATCCCTCTAAACCCCTCCTGTTCATTTACCTATCCAGATGCCTTTTAAATGTTATAATTGTACCAGACTCCACCACTTCCTCTGGCAGCTCATTCCATACACACACCACCCTCTACATGAAAAAGTTACCCCTTAGGTCCCTTTTAAATCCTTCCCCTCTCACCTTAAACCTATGCCCTCTAGTTTTGGACTCCCCCACCCTAGGAAATAGACCTTCACTATTCACCCTTTCCATGCCCCTCTTGATTTTATAAACCTCTATAAGGTCACCCCTCAGCCTCCAATGCTCCAGGGAAAACACTCCCAGTCTATTCAGCTGTAGCTCAAACCCTCCAGCCCTGGCAACATCCTTGTAAATATTTTCTGAACACTTTCAAGTTCACAGCATCTTTCCTATAGCAGGGAGACCAGAATTGAATGCAGTATTCCAGAAGTGGCCTAACCATTGTCCTGTATGGCTGCAACATGACCTCCCAACTCCTATACTCAATGCACTTACTAATAAAGGCAAGAATACCAAATGTCTTCTTCACTATCCTATCTACCTGCAACTGCACTTTCAATGAACTATGAACTTGCAGTCCAAGGTCTCTTTGTTCAGCAACACTCCCCAGGACCTTACCATTAAAAGTATAAGTCCTGCCCTGATTTGACTTTCCAAACTACAGCACCTCACATTTATCTAAATTAAACTCCATCTGCCACTCCTCGACTCATTGGCCCATCTGATCAAGGTCCTATTTCACTCTGAGGTAACCTTCTTCGCTGTCCACTACACCTCCCATTTTGGTATCATCTGCAAACTTACTAACCACGCCTCCTACGTTCACAACTGAATCATTTATATAAATGATGAAAAGCAGTGGACCCAGCACCGATCCTTGTGGCACACCACTGGTCACAGGCCTCCGGCCTGAAAATCAATGCTCCACCACCACCCTCTGTCTTCTAACTTCAAGCTAGTTCTGCATCCAAATGGTTAGTTCTCCCTGTATTCCATGTGATCTAACCTTGTTAACCAGTCTACCATGAGGAAATAAGACTAGATTAATTGTGAAAGCTGGGCGACAGGGACAAGTTGGGCTGAAGGGCCTGTTTCCATGCTATAAACCTCTGTGACTTTAGATGGATGAAAGGGGATCTGGTTGAGAGGTATAACATTTTAACTGGGCTGGATAGACCAGATGTAAGGAGGAATTTTTCACTTGGTTGGGAAGACTAGAACTGGCTTATGCTTATGGATACAATTTTCCAAAATCATGGGCAGCACAGTGGCTCAGTGGTTAGCACTGCTGCCTCACAGCACCAGGGACCCAGGTTTGATTTCACCCTCAGGCAATTGTCTGTGTGGAGTTTGCACATTCTTGCTGTGTCTGCATGGGTTTCCTCCCATGGTCCAAAGATGTGCAGGTTAGGTGGATTAGCCATGGGAAATTGCCCATAATGTCCAGGGATATGTGGATTAGCCACGGGATATACAGGGGTAGGATAGGGGGATGTGTCTGGATGGGATGCTCTGAAGGGGGGGGGGGTCAGTGTGAACTTGATGGGCTGAATGGCCTGCTTCCACACTGTTAGGATTCTATGATCATGAACCAGTGACACAGTCTTAGGTTATGAAGTAGACTGTGTAGGACTGGGATGAGGGAAAATTTCTTCACTCCCAGGGTAGTGAATCTCTGGAATTAACCACAGAAGACAATGCAGGCCAATTCACTGGATATATTCAAGAAAGGGATAGATAGTTTTTAGATTTTAAAAGGGTCGGGGGAGAAAGCGGGAATATGGTGTTGAGATGGATCATCAACCATGATCATATTCAATATTGAAGGGCCTACTCCTGATTTTTAATGTGACACTTCAAGGTGAGTCTGTTTCTCTACAGATGTTGCCAGACCTGCTGATTTCTCCAGCACTTTTTGTTTTGCTATTGCAAACTGACTTACCATGTGTCATGAGAGAATGACAATTCACACAGACTTGGGACAAGCTTGCAGTCAGGCCATAACAACACCATCAGAACCTGGTCTGTATATTCAAAACTGGATCTCCCCTATACTCATTTTCCATTTGGGCCTCACTTAAGATTATAGAACGTGGTTCTTGTATCCTTCAGGTCTACTGAGAGAAAACAAAAACATTAGAGAAGGAGCAATGCAAGTTTTACCGGGCTGATTCCAGAGCTGAGCAGATCTGACTGTTTAAGAAAGATTGATCAGGCTGGGATAACAAAGTGTGGATCAGGAGGAACACAACAACTGTGTTCATTTCTGAAGAAGAGTCCCCACCCGAAACGTCAACTTTCCTGCTCCTCTGGTGCTGCCTGGCCTGCTGTGTTCCTCCAGCTCCACACTGTGTTATCCCTGACTCCAGCATCTACAGTTCTTGCTAATCTCTTGGTCAGGCTGGGGCCCTTTTCTCTAGAAAAGAGAAGACCTGAAAGATGCCTTTAAGATTATTTGACACAGTAGATGTAAAGAAGATGATTCCATTTGTGGGACAAATGAGAACTCAGGGCTATAAATGTAAGATGGTCACTAATACGTCCAACAATACATTCAGGAGAAACGTCTTTACCCAGGGAGCAGTGAGAATGTGGCATTGATGCTATATGTTGGAGGTGAAAAGCATGGATACATTTAAGGGAAAGCTACATAAACACATGAGGCAGAAAGGAATGGAAGGATAGGCCAATAGGGTGGGATAAAGAAGGGTGGGAGGAGGTTCATGTGAAGTATAAATATCAGTATAAAGCAAATAGACCAAATAGCCTGTTTCTGTGTTATCCGTTCTCTATGATGGAAGATTACTGAGCCGCAGAGTCAGCTCCATTAAGTAAAAACCTGTCGGGAAGAGAGCAATGAAGTAGAAATGAGAAACAACAACAAAGTTGCTGAAAAAGCTCATCAGGTCTGGCAGCACCTGTGAAGGAATAAACAGAGTTAACGTTTCGGGTCCGGTGACCCGTCCTCAGAACAGAAGTTGAAATGAGGTCTGGGGTGAGAGAGGTATATCAGGGAGCAGAAGCCATATTAGCAGAGAGGAATTTCTACACAGCATGTTTGAAAAGCTGTCTGCCAATATCAGTAGACAAAGAGCCGATAGTACGTGGACCCCATTGTATTTCAGATTTGACAATTTCTTTAAAGACAGACATGGTACTGAAGCTTTCCAACTTGCAATTGTCAGGACAGATGCAAGAATGTCAAATTTCAGAACCCTGCAACAATTTGGACTTTTATGCTGATTGATTGGCAAAACGTGGCTGAGGCTAACCAATCAGCATTCTTTTCTCTTGTGGTATGAGTTGTTGTGGTGGTGTGAAATTTGGCATTCTTGCATATGTCCTGATGAATCCATGACCAAAATAAAAACTTTGGCATCAGGCTCTTTTCTTTCCAGTAAGCGACCATTCTCATTTCAGATTGTTAATTCTGTGTTCAACTCCCTCTCAACACAGGTCGGCTTGTTGTCTGCTCTCCCCCATCTCGTCATGACGATTATAGTGCCCATTGGTGGACAGTTAGCGGACTACCTCCGAGCCAAGAAAATCATGTCTACCACCAATGTCAGGAAGATGATGAACTGTGGAGGTGTGTTTCTGCGAGCCAGGCCAGCAATGTGCTGCTCTACATCACCATCATCAACTGCATTAGTAACTCTTAGATATGCATGAGGGACTGTGTATGTACCAATACTCTATGTCCTCATACCTTTGCTACCTCTAGACCTAACTATTCCAATGCTACCAGCTGGCCTGGTTGCCGGCTCCAGAAATTTAAGGTGATCCAAACTACTGTTGCCCCTATCCTAAGGCAACATTTCTACATCATTTCTACATTTCTTTCTGATAAAACTCCTTGCAAAATACTGGGTTGTTTAACTATGCTAGGGTGCTATATAAATGCAAGCGGTTGCTCATAAATTGATATCCATCTATTAAATGCTAACGCCATGACAGCAAATTTGCAGCCCTCCACTCTCCCTTTTTCCATCATTTGCATTGGACAGGGCTTCGGATGCAGTGGGTAATGACCCTCTCTCAGAGCCAGAAGTACCAGGTTGCTGGCCATGCATTCACGACATTGGCTCCAGCAGACTGATAATTAAATTGCCCATTCTCGTAACACATTGATGGCGGGCGGCCAAAGAATTGCTGGTCTGTCACGTTTGATGCCCATCACCTGTAGCCACTTGCCTCCCCCTTCCCTAACAGAGAGAGAAAGATGCCTATGCTCCCCTTACAGACTGTGGTTAGTTACAGAGACGGATGGATAAAGCTTAAGCAGATGCCTTAAGTCATTCTTCGCAACAGAACCAGGCAGTTCAAGCTCTAAGGTTCCAAGAGCAACCTGAAGCTGCTAGGAAGGAGCAGGGAGAACACAAAAGGACTATCCCCAATATCAGCTCAAAAATGACCAACCACACGCTTCCCACTTAGCCTCAGTGATCACACTGCAGAAGTATTTCGTTGGTTGTACAATACTTTGGAATGACCTGCGGTCATTAAAGGCTTTATGTAAGAACATGAGAAACTGGAGCAGGAGTAGGCCAGCTGGCCCATCAATCCTACTCTGCCATTCAACAAGGTCATGGCTGATCTTTTCATGGACTCAGCTCCACTTAGCCACCCGCTCACCATAACCCTTAATTCCATTACTGGTCAAAAATCTATCTTTGCCTTAAAAATATTCAATGAAGTAGCCTAAACTGCTTCAGTGTGTGGGGAGTTCCACAGATTCACAAACTTTTTGGTGAAGAAGTTCTTCCTGAACTCAGTCCTAAATCTGCTCCCTCTTATTTTGAGGCTATGCCCCCAGTTCTAGTTCCGCCAGTGGAAACAACCTCCCTGCTTCTGTCTTATCTATTCCCTTCATTATTTTATATGTTTCTATAAGATCCCTCCCCATTCTTCTAAATTCCAATGAGTACAGTCCCAGTCTACTCAATCTCTCCTCATAAGCCAACCCTCTCAACAAGGGGAGGCAAAAGTGCCCACCACTAATGGGAATCCTGTACTATTCCTGACATTGGTTCCATGTTTAAACTCTGGACCCACAGTGCTGTAGTTATGGCAACATCCATAGTGGTCTTGTGGCCACGATTTGGTGCTTACACTACTGCATACCAGGTTTTTTTAAACTTATACATTCACTGGATGTGTCATAGGCCAGGTAGCATTTATTGTCCATCCCTAATTGCCCACAGGGCAGTTAAGAGTCAACCACATTGCTGTGGGTCTGGAGTCACATGTAAGCCAGACCAGGTAAGGATGGCAGTTTCCTTCCCTAAAGGACATTAGTGAACCAGATGGGTTTTTCCCAACAATTGACTCATGGTCATCATTAGACTCTTAATTCCAGACTTTTCTTGAATTTAAATTCCACTATCTGCCATGGCGGGATTTGAACTTGGATCCCTGGAACATTACCTTGGTCTCTGGATTAAAAGTCCAGTGTTAATACCGCTAAGCTGTCAACTGTGAAAATAGTTCCTGTAAGCCCCTAAGCTCTGAAATTCCTCCTCTGCCCTCCTTTTAAAATGCTCCTTAAAAGCTATCTCTTTGACCAAAGTTTTGGTCACCTCCCCTAAAATCGAATTATAAAAGCAAAATACTACAGATGCTGGAAATATGAAACAAACACAGTAGGCCTGGCAGCATCTGTGAAGAGAGAGACAGATTTAACATTTTGAGACTCTTCCTCAGAACTGGAGATATCGCCCTGTGATGAATCTTTGTTTGCGTGTGCTCCTGCCTTGGGATGCTATATAAATGCAGGCTGTTGTATGGAATATTCATTATTTGATGCAATGCTCCTCTGTTCATCTTGTTTTTATTTCTCCCGTCTCAAGGTTTCGGAATGGAAGCAACATTTCTGTTAGTGGTGGGCTTCTCTCACGCAAAAGGAGTGGCCATTTCTTTTCTCATCCTTGCTGTTGGCTTCAGTGGGTTCGCAATTTCAGGTGATTAGAGATCTCATCCCCAGTTCCTGTCATTTTCACCAGGTACTGTTCGGGACCCAATTTGCCAGCATGAGCCATTAGCATAAATGCGACTGTATTACCATACGTTAGCATATGTTTGTCTCGCTCACAATTTAGCATCACACAGATGGGCACGTGACTCAACTTAATCCATCCCGTCTCTTGCTTCTGTTTGCTTTTGTGCTGAAGGTTTCAATGTTAACCATCTGGACATTGCGCCACGTTACGCCAGCATCTTAATGGGCTTATCCAACGGTGTGGGCACTTTATCCGGGATGGTGTGCCCCCTAATTGTGGGAGCGATGACAAAACACAAGGTGAGCGAACTGTGAAGACGCTACCACAGGTTCAGATTAAATAAAAGCCGAAAGAACTGCAGGTGCTGGAAATCAGAAACCAAAACAGAAATTGCTGGAAAAGCTCAGCAGGTCTGGCAGCACCTGTGGAGAGAAAACAGAGTTAAACGTTGCAGGTCGAGTGACCCCAGTTCTGAGGAAGGATCACTTGACCCGAAACGTTAACTGTGGTTTCTCTCCACAGATGCCGCCAGACCTGCTGAGCTTTAGCAGCGTTTTCTGTTTCTCTTTAAGACTGTAGTTTCAGAGTTAAGACACTCAGCATTCTCAACATACTTCAAGAAAATTGGAATATGCATTAACAAACTTTCTTTTTATTCATTTGTGGGATGCGGGCATTGCTGACTGGGTAGCATTTATTGCCCATCCCTAGTTGCCCTTGAGAAGGTGGGGGGGAGCTGCTGCCTTGAGCTGCTGCAGTCTCTGAGCTATAGGTTAACCCACAATGCCATTAGCAAGGGAATTGCAGGATTTTGACCCAGTGACACTGAAGGAACGGCAAAATATTTCTGAGTCAGGATGGTGAGTGGCTTGGAGGGGAGCTTGCAGGTAATGGTGGTCCCTTGTATCTGCTGCCATTGTTCTTGTATACAGAAGTGGCCGTGGATTTGGAAGGTGCTGTCTAAGGATCTTTGGTGAATTTCTGCAGTGCATCTTGTAGATGGTACACACTGCTGCTACTGAGCGTCGGTGGTGGAGGGAGTGGGTGCTTGTGGATGTGGTGCCAATCAGGCAGGCTTCTTAGTCCTAGATGGTGTCAAGCTTCTTGAGTGTTGTTGGAGCTGCACCTATCCAGGCAAGTGGGGAGTATTCCATCACACTCCTGACTTGTGCCTTGTAGATGGAGGATAGGCTTTGAGGAGTCTGGAGGTGAGTTACTTGCCGCAGTATTCCTGGATTCTGGCCTGCTCTTGTAGCCACTGTTAATGTGGTGAGTCCAGTTGAGTTTCTGGCCATTGGTAATCTCAATAATGTTGATAGCAGGTGATTCAGTGACGGTAACATCATTGAATGTCAAGGGGTGGCGATTAGATTATCTCTTATTGCAGATGATCATTGCCTGACATTTGTGTGGTGCAAATGTTACTTGTCTATGTTTGGAGGTCCCTGAGGATGCATTGAGTTATTAATACTTTTCCAACTATTCAGTAAGCTTAGCTGAGGTTGTGATTTTTTTTTGTGTTAATTTTAACCTTCTGTCAAAGGGATAGCTTTAAAGATGGTCTGCTCCCTCTATCGGGCTCTGAATTTGGCAAGCAAAGCCAAGACATGTTGCAGGGCATATGTTTTAGTGGTGAAGCATAGTTTGGCTGAATGAGGTAGGGAAATGAAGAGAGGGCCCACCTTGAGATTCTGCCAACTCAGTCGTGAATTCTAGGACTAGGGAATGTAGCTTAAAGGTTACAGCCAGGCCTTACAGGACTGAATGGAAACACTTCAACATACAAAGAATGGCAGACATTTATAGAGACATAGAGTCATAGAATTGTACAGCACGAAAACAGACCCTTCGGTTCAACTCGTCCATGCCGACCAGATATCCTAAATTAATCTAGTCCCATTTGCCAGCATTTGGCCCATATCCCTCTAAACATTTCCTATTCATATACCCATCCAGGTGCCTTTTAAATGTTATAATCATACCAGCCTCCACCACCTCCTCTGGCAGCTCATTCTGCACACACAATCATCCTCTGCGTGAAAAAGTTGCCCCTTAGGTCCCTTTTAAATCTTTCCCCTCTCACCTCAAACCTATGCCCTCTAGTTTTGGACTTCCCTGCCCTCAGAAAAAAGACCTTGGCTATTCATTCTGTCCATGCCCCTCATGATTTTATAAACCTCTATATGGTCAGCCCTCAGCCTCTGATGCTCCAGGGAAAATAGCCCCAGCCTATTCAGCCTCTCCCGATAGCTCAAATCCTCCAAAATCCTTGTAAATCTTTTCTGAACCCTTTCAAGTTTAACAACATCTTTCCTACAGCAGAGAGACCAGAATTGAACTCAGTATTCCAAAATTGGCCTAACCAATGTCCTATACAGCTGCAACATGACCTCCCTCCCAACTCCTATAGTCAATGCACTGACCAATAAAGGCAAGTGTACCGAACACCTTCTTCATTACCCCATCTACTTGCGACTCCACCTTCAAGGTAATATAAACCTGGACTTCAAGATCTTTTCGTTCAGCAACACTCCCCAGGACCTTACTATTAAGTGTATAAGTCCTGCTCCGGTTTGCCTTTCCAAAATGTAGCACCTTGCATTTATCTAAATTAACTCCATTTGCCACTCCTTAGAACTCTCTTCCACACATAGCAATTGATAACTCAAACAATTGTTAGTTTTGTATCTGAGATAGATAGATTTTTTTGTGATATTAAGAGGTTATAGGGCAAAGGTGGCCGTATAAAATGACATTCTTGATAAGTCATGAACTGATTGAATGACAGAACAGGCCAAATGGACTGAATGGCCTCCCTCTGTTCCTATCAGTTGCTCTTATTCTTGGAAAGGTGCTAAGACCATAAAGGGCAGAAGTACCCCATTCATCCCATTGAGTCCACGCTGCCATTCAATACAATCATGGCTGATCTGACAATCCTCAACTCCACTTTCTTTCCTTTACCCCATAACCCTTGATTCTCTGATTAAAAGCCTGTTAATCTCAGCCTTGAATAAGTAAGATCCATAAGATGTAGGAGAAGAAGTAGGCCATTCGGCCTGTCAATTTTCTGGTCTCTCTTCATGAACCACAGCAGTCCATACAGTAACAGTATTCCAACTCCCAACCCGGGCGTTGTTAGAGGGAGAGTTCCCAGATTTTATCACCCTTCCTCACTGGCAATTCGGGGATGGCCACATATCTCCAAGTCAGGGCAATGTGTGCCTTGGAGATAGTGGTGTTCCCATGTGTCTCTGCACTGCAGGGTAAGTCTGGGTGGGGAGGGGAAACCAGTGGAAGGAGGCTACAGGCTTGAAGCCCCTTGAGGGCACACCCCAAGGAACAGAGAGGCCTGTTATTGGCGGGGGGGAGCGCACGCTTTACTGAAAGGGCTTGGGAAAGCACTCCTGCTCACTTCTGGCCCACAGGCGGGGGGGTAATAGAGCCTAGAGAATCTCATGGAGTTTGCAATTCCCATCTCCCTCCCACTGCCTGAGCCTCCCAAAGTCCTGACCATCAATGTTAAACTTCCAAAACACAAGGTCAAGTGCCCAGGTTAAATCAACCTGCCACCTTTACTACTGAGAAGGACAAAGGCAGCAAATACATGGGGATACCACCATCCCCACCACCACCAACACCCCCTCCCCAGACCCCTGCAAGTTCCCCTGTGAGCCACAGACCATCCTGACTCAGAACTGGGCCTTCAGCTTCGCTGTATCAAATTCCTGGATCTGCCTCCTTAACAGTACTGTGTGTAGGTATCCTGACACCACACAGATTACAGCGGTTCAAGACAGCAGTCCAACACCCACTTCCACAGGTTAACTAGGGGCCTAGCCAGCAAGGCTCAAATGCTCTGAAAGAATCTTTGTAAAAGTGAGCTCCAGCATTCATTAGAGGACCCTGTCGGTCCACAATATTCACCGTTATATTAAAAAATGCAGAATGTTGACATTGCCTATCGTTACCCTGGGACCCCCCGCATTCGATTCCACCCTCGAGTCGAGTTTACACATTCTCCCCGTGTCTGTGTGGGTTTCCTCCGGGTGCTCCAGTTTCCTCCCACAGTCCAAAGATGTGCAGGTTAGGGTGGATTGGCCGTGCTAAATTGCACCATAGTGTCCAGGGTTGTACAGGCTCGGTAGATTGGCCATGCTAAATTGCCCCACAGTGTCCAGGGTTGTTTAGGCTGGGTGGATTGGCCATGGGAAATTGCTCATAGTGCCCAGGGATGTGCAGGTTAGGGCAGATTGGCCATGCTAAATTGCCCCATAGTGTCCATGGTTGTACAGGCTGGGTGGATTGGCTGTAGGAAATCGCCCATAGTGCCCAGGGATGGGCAGGTTAGGGTGGATTGGCCGTGCTAAATTGTCCCAT